TTTCCCGCCTCTTCGCGCCCGGCTCACCGGCCCCTCCCTTCCTTCATTAACCCTCCACTGTGTTTCTCTAATTCGTTTTACGGGGTAATGAAAACTACGGTCGGAATTGCGCGACGTGACGCTTTGTCCCCGGCACCGAAAACCGGGCACGAACACGGAGTTACGGGGCCATTGCGCGCCGTAACGCGAGAAAGCGTGGCCCAATTATCAGAGCTCCGCTCGGCCTGCCGATACGCTCCCCGAGCGTTTTCCTTTCCAGCCGGGAGGAACGGCTGCTCGAGCGATGGGGAGAGGAATCCGAGCGGATCGCGTAGAAATATTTCGTCCCCGGACCTGCCTGCCCTCTCTTAGTTTTGGGTTTCTCGGCTCTGTTTCTCGTTGTCGCGTGGGAAGGCGCGTGTTCGCTCGGCAAGAGGGTGCCGTTTCGTGGAAACGACGGGCAGGCGTCGCCCGGGGCGGAAACACGTGGAAATTTAGAGTCGTGGGAGATTCCGAACGTCAGACGCGGCTGGAGTAATGCGCTGTAATTGCAGCCGAGTTATTTTCCGGTAACGGTAACTTAGATGTGTAATGAGGATTTACAACTAGATTCGAGGGAAGCGGATGGTGTTGACTTTACTGGAATTTGATAATAATTGACGCGGCCAGTAGCGTACCACTGGGCGTTTTCCCATGAGGTGTAGATAACATTCTTTCAAACTAAGTAATGAGAAAATATACGTAAATTGAGGGATAAAGCTATTTTATTCCAATATCTCACAAGATCAAGCGAAGACTGAAATTGAAACGCAAACTAGTCGCTAAACTCCTGTTAACTGAAATCGCTGAAGCGTCGGAGACAAGTATAACGCTACTCGAGATCCATAATTTCGCGAGGTATCAGTCTGGCAGTCCGGCGAGCCGTTGAAAAACAAAAATTCACAGCGCGTTCCGACGTTCGTTTCGTTCTTCGCACGGCGGAAAGTTTCCCGTTCGCTATCCGGCTATAATTAACGACTTCGCCGGCGAATGGTTCACGCTAAATGCGCATCGGCGCGGTCCCGCTTCGGAATGCGACTCGTAAAAATTCCAGCGGGAGACAAAAGAAACGCGGTGACCGCGTTCGAAACACACAAGGCAAGATGACCCTGCCGCTGAACGTCACGCCGCGGGATTTCATTTACGAGCCAAAAGGACGAAATTAAGAGTGACGCGTCGAGCCCGGGGAGCGAGAATGGAAATGCAGCGCGCGGCCCTGACGACAAATAGATACACGGGGTGGAAAAGGGTGCGACGCATCCGCCGAAATGGAGAACCGTGAAAGCACCAGTTTCGGATGTCGTCGATTCCCGCGGAACGCGTTTGTAACTGTAGGGTTTCTAATAATAGTAACACGCGCGACCTAACCACGTTTTATTGCATTATTTTATTTCACTATATTTCATTTCATTATATTGTCGGACGCATTCGTCGAATCGCGTGTTATTTATATTGGAAATGATCACGGCCGGCTCTGATTTCACTTGATCACGCTCAATTCTTTTTACCGCTGCGAAAAACGCATCGCTAAACCTTCCGCCGAGACCGCGGGCATGAACGATGCACGGGGGAAACAGAATTTTCCTTCCCGAGGATAATACTTTCCATTGATCTTCGCGGATCAAGCGTGTAATAGAATATTTATGAAACATTATGCGCCGGTAACGTTTAAAATGCATTTAAGACGTTCTTTGTGAAGAG